ATCAGTGGTCCGAGAGAAAACAGGTGGAAAGTGTTTTCTGCTGGCTACAGAAGAAAGAACACTTTGCTGAGTGATTTTGAATTGCTGTCAAATGAAAACCATTTGGCTGGTTATTCTTCCAGCCAGTGGTTAAATAGTTCAGAAACTTGAGAGAGAGAAACTTCATTTACAAGTGTTTTGTGAAATTGCTAGCTTTTTCCCATCGTGTTTCATTTCCTGAATGTGCTGTCTATGAATAGGATCATATAGGAAGAGCCATGTTGAGCCATGTGCTTTAATTAGATTATGCAATCATACAGGGAAATCAGAGAGACATCTATAAACTCTGAAACATTGGAAATTTCTCTGACATGTTTTGTTTAGATGGTTTCAGATGAAAAAAGAAAATGCCGATGCTCTGGAAGTCTTTGAATTGTTGGAGTTGTAAATCTGAAAGGAGCAAAAAAATAAAGAAATTGATGCCTTTGGTTAATCCGTCACCAACATTTTTACAGACATGGAAAGTTGTATCATACTGGCAGCAACAGTATCATCCTGGTTTCATCTCTAAACAATGGAAATCTAGGTGTGAAGGGAATCAAATTTCTAATGATTCACAAACACAAGTGGGTAAGTATATCATGTTTTAGGGTAATTGGTAAAGTGATTCAGCATTGAAAATTTTCTTTGGTAATTATCCGTAGAGATGGTTCCTGACCATTGTATGCAGGGGTGAATGGGAACAGATGTGGCCATCAAGGGTCACTACACAATGACAAGTGACATCTTGAATTGTGTGATCTGTGAAGGAGATGGGGAAAATGGATCAAGGTTGTAATTGGTGTAACAGAAATTTGATCCTCATGGAAAGAGACAGTGAGCTGTTTCTCTCACCTTGAGGGATGTAAATATCTCTCACTTTTTACAGAAATAAATTTTTTATTGGTTGTAATTAATTTGTTTTATAAGTTAGCATGCAGGTATTGCACCACTGTCACGCTGATTTAAAGGTTGATAAATGATGCAACAGGAACTTGTGAAAACTTGTGCGCAAATTTAAGACGTTTCTAATCTTCTTTAATCTTGAATTAAGCAATTAACCTCTGTATTCTAGGGAGATTTACACTGTATGTTTTGGCTAACGATTGCGTCATAATGGATCGGTGCAAATTCTTTCTGTACTTTTTAAAGTGACAACCTGCCAAGCTCCAGTCTTAAATAAAACTGTTCAATATTTTTTGCCTATGTATGTTTGAGAATCTGGCTCACCTGATGGTAAAAAAAATCGTGAGCGAGTAATAAATGCCGCTTTTTGTGTCAATACAGCTAAATTGATATATTTGGGTGTGAATTAAGGGTAGTAAATTATTTTCCAGTATACACAACCCCCTCCATGGCCTGCTCGACTAATACTAGAGCCAGAAGTTAGAATTTCTTGTTGACTTAAACTTTCCTCTATCATATTCTTATACCTGAATTGAGTTTATAGGTATTGTATAGCAATTTATATAAGTTTTAAAATGCAGAGTTTTTTTCATAGAGAATTGAGACTGTTTTATTCATGTCTCTTGGTATTTGCATGATACAAAGGAATTGACGAGGAGCACACAAAGTGATTTGACAATCAATAACTTTATCTGATGGAATGCAGTTATCTTTTCTCCTCAAATTAAGACCTAAAATACAAGATGTCATTATCTGTTTTGAAAATGAAAGGAAAACCGTCCAACAGATAGGGTTTTAGAGAATACGGTTGTGATGACACGTTCATATATAAATATTCCCCATTGAAATGAAGGGCACTGTCAACAGAGTTCTGGCAGGTCAGAGTGTTTTATTGAAGTGATCTAGCAAAAACAAAACCAGAAATTGAACCCCTGTTGATTTACAGGCTTATTGATAGAGTGTCCTTCTTTGCTGCTGGCTGACTCAACTCATTGTCATTTCTCTCCGAGTTCTTGTCTTTACCCCTACTTTGCCCACATTGGTTGTCTTTTATGAGGCTCTTGAATACAAGCATGCAATCAATGTTCCAGCGTCATTTGTTATCAAAATTCCCATCTCTTTGAGCACATGGGAAATTTTTAAGTTTTGATATTTTGTGCTGGGTGGGGTAGTCTTAAACTGCAATGAATTGCCCATGTGCAGTTGGAAAAAGCAGATTGAAAAAAGATGCTACTTTATTCAAGATTTTTCTTCCTACCAATTAAGAAAAGGAGCATGTGTTGTAATGAGAATATTTGCAGAAGTGATGACGCCCTCCGCTAAATTGGTAGTGGGAGGGACAACATTAGTGTGTACAAAATAGTGGTCAGTGTTTGTACACGACTGTTGGCTTAAATTTCGGCCTGAATTTAGCTGATAAGTGGGTGGGGTCCAATGTTTGTCCTGTAAAGGCCGCTTGTTTTATATCGAAAGGCTTAGCAAACATCAGGTTAGGATATCTAGCTCTGTTAAAGTGCAAAATAAATTTCCTGTGTATTTGCAGGTCAACATAAGAATAATGTTGCATTTTTCATTAGAAATTTATTGAAGTGGTGTTTCAAAGATGCACAGATTTTGCTGAAAATATTCCTCTAAGTAAAATTTAAAAGAAAGTTTTGTTTTCTCTAGAGCTTTTGAAGGAAAACTAAAAAAAAATGCATAAGAAAATGAGCAAATTTTTAAATGAGTTTGAATCAAGCAGATGAATAAAGACCAGACACAAATGCAGTTTGTTAAGAATCAAACACTGTTTGACCACACTGTTTGTGCAAAAGATCGCCTTATCTCCTTGCTTAGCATACATTTACTCAAGCACTCTAGGTAGAAACAAGAAATTGTTGACCTTTGGCCTGGATTGATAAATGTTTGGTATTGGTCCTTAGTGAGATCAAGGTAGGAATAGTTAAATCCAGCCATATTTATTTGAAATGTTCTTTGATGTCAAACACAGTTGAATCTTAATTTGAAACTTGAATAAAACCAGAATTTCATTAGATGGGATATATTATACAATGTTATCAATGAGTTGCGGCACGTAATTTTCTCAGTCTGGGCATCAGGAACTTCTCACAAGATTTTTCTGTCAGACCGCGGGGTTTTGACATGCGGAGACGTACTGTGTAAAAGTGATTTCTGTGACTTGTTTTTTACTCCACAGATTAGTTTTTTAAGTGGTGTTATTTGCCAAGGATATTTGAACTCTTATGTTAGGTCACAGGTAGAGGGAAAAAAATCTCAAATCAATAAGTAAACCCTGTGATTGTAAGAACGCTGTATACAGGTATTGTAGAGAGGAGAAAAGGGAACATTTACTCGCTGTGACAAGAGTGAGAGAGGAGTTGTATCTCTCAAAAAACTATGTGGAGCTTCAAATCTCTCCAATTTGAGGGACACCAAATTGATCTGTGGCAAGATTCATCTTTATATTAAAGATTTTGTCAAGTCATTCACAATAATGGAGCTAACTAGAATGGCCGCTATCCGACTTTTGTCCGATTGTGTTCATCAGAAACTAACTTGTGCAGAAAAGGAACAAGTCACAAAAGTTGGGCCAAACAAGGCTGTGCAGAAAACGTGCCTCAAATCATGTATTGGTAAAAAATCAATGGAAATTAAAGCTCTTGGTAAGAGTTTCTATTCCTGGAATTTTTAACTTATTTCTTTGTAAAAAAAACAAAAAAACAAAACATAATTATGAACTAAATAATTAAGGTATTTTTTTAATATTTTAATATTCATATTTAAACACTTGTGCCTTTAGACATTTTTTTATCTTGAAAGTGTATCCGGTATGCAAATAATTTTATGCGTGGAGTTCTATAATTGTTGCATCTTTCGATTTTTGGTTCATGTAGATATATCACAAATTATTACATGTGAAGTTACATAATATCCTGTGGTACCAGTAAGTGCAGTGTTCTGAATTCATTACTAAGAATTTAATCCTGAAAACAGGATTAATGAGGACTGAGTGTGATTTAAGCTAAAGCTCAGCGATTTAGGGTTTATGAGGTTCAATTTAAAATTCAAAAACTTAATTTCAGGAAATACCAAACATAAAACCGATCAAAATGAAAACAAGTATCTGTCAATTTGTCAGGTCAAGAATTGATTGAAAGCCATTAATATGCATTTTGGAGTGTATCTATTTTAAGTTTATAAAAATTAATTTTTTAATTTATTAAACTGTTTAAAGCACTTCAACAATCCAAAAAATTTTGAATGCATTTTAATGAAGAATGCACAGCATATTTGTCTGACAGGAGAAAAAGACATCGAAGCAGGAATGAAAGTGGGGTCAGCCTAACGTAAAGTCGTCCCATAGTATGAAATCCCCAGCCGAGAGTAAATTCATTCCAAAATCTCGGGCTCCTTAGAAATCGTTACAAAGATTGTCAACATATTAGATATGATAACCAGAGAGCGATACACTGTATCAATGCAAGTGGGTCCCCAAATTTGACAGATTACGTCAATCCAGCAAAATGAGGAATTATTCTAACGTTTGTATATCATATCTGACAGCATTTGATTGTGACTTGTAAATAGGGAGTTTCACAGTTATGTATCGTGGATATCATGGTTTGGTTTCTGCTGACCAACTTTCTTTAATCATGTTTCAATCGTATCTTATATACCTTGGTATTATGTGCATTTAATCGGCATATCTGGATCGCTATATATTAAATATAAATCATTTATTGGACCAAATATTTCTTGTGTTGATGAAATGTCAAGAATTGAATGAAGTTGCACTTTAATAATTTCTGAGATTCTTGATCAAGGATGTAATGAAGATCAGACTAGTGTGTATATATACATTTTTAGAGATGGAGTACTCAAATCCCATCCCCCCCCCCCCCCCCCAAAAAAAAAGTTTTATAAAAAATAAACAAATGGCATTTGCATTAGATAAGGTTTAGGTGAACAAAATGGAGACAAATGCTTACATGATCTTATCAAGGGGGATTGCTGATGATATAATTTTGTTAACTAAATGTTGGAATCTTAGTTAAATTTTCTTCTCATCCTTGTAGAAATAGAAGCTGTTGAAGCATGTCGATGGTTGAAGGAAGCCGGATTTCCACAATATGCTCAGATGTATGATGGTATGTACAGTGTTTAATTAATAAGTATTTGATTTTTGTAGAAAGGATTGTAAAAAAAAAAAAAGAAAGAAAGAAAAGAAAAGAAAAAAATATTTTAAAAATTTGGTCATTGAAAGACTTTTAATCATAAACTATCCATGTTCAACTCTGCTTGTGGGCATGTTACTAAATCTAAGTAAACACAATTAAATTAAAGTTAGCTTTAGGAATTTCCTGTTCAGATTAACTATGAAAGCCTATAGCCCTGACCCTGAGGTCACATTTCCTGTTCGGACATTGAAGATACAGTTGTACTCAAATTATTTGTATTTTCTCTCAGAATAATTAAACCTACATCTTGGTATTTATAAAATGCAGCGTGCTTATAAATATTTTTCTAAAAATATTGTATCTTTTTAACATTCATTTTAAAGAAATTTAAATGTTGTATTCTTGAACTTTCATAAATTCACCTTATACAGAATGAGGAAATTGTAGAAAATTACACATGATAAGCTGCATGTGCACTTTTGAAGTATATAGTATACATGTAGGTGATCGAGGTAATTAAGGAATGGTTATAAGAAAGAGAGCATGTCTGTTTATGAACACCTTCATTGTTCACATTTGCATGTGAACATCTTCCTTGTTCACAGATTAAGTTGTCCATCTGCTGTTTGTTCTCCCTAGAAACTTTGTATCAAAGACAGCTAGGGATTATGGCACATTAAGCCCTCCCTCCCTACACAAGTATCAGTGTTATATTCAGGGACTCTTCAGGTCTTCTGAATGTTTAACTTCATGACAGAACACCCAGTATCTGGAGAATTCTATCACACCCCCTCCAAACCTTTGACATCACAGCAGTGGGTGTTATGTTGAATGTAAAACCTGTTGAAGTGTGACAGAATTCTGTCAGGATTTTTTTTTCCTCAGAGAGAAAATGTTTTGGTTTAAAAAAAATTACTGTGTAATTAAGATAAGCAAGTCCTGATTATGTTTTGTAGACTGCCAGTTTCCTATAGATATTTCAAGTGTGGAAAAAGACCATGATTTTTTGGACAGAGACTCGATGCAGCCATTGGTCAGGTAAGTCATGAGTTGTCTTCCCTACCCACCATCTGACCCTTCCTTTCTCTTGAAGAGTTTGTTACTATTGAAGTGTAACAAAGCTTATAGACTTGCGGAAAACTAGAATTTAGTTTTACATTTTTTTTCATTCTAACAATTTTTTTTCCTCATATGATTGGTTTTTAAGCATTGATAATGATTGGGCTAGAGTTCCCTGTTTATGTTCATCCTGGATTCATTTGTTTCTCGATCAGTTCAGTGGAGGATGTTTACAATTTGTCAATATATTTGACGCAGGCCTTGTTTTGGTGACACGCTAACAAGTAAATAGTTAATCTCTCTCACAACATAGGTGTCCTATAGATCTATCCCTTTGTCACACCTGTGTTGATTGGACAGAATAAATATTTCAGGTCAAGTCTTTCCTCAAGAGCTTTTAATATTTCCATATTCTTATCGTTGTGTTTAGTTCAGTGGGTATGTTCCTACTATAGAGAGTATGTTCCTTGGTTTGTGTAACTTGCTATTAAATCAAGTTCATGGTCATACATCAAATTACCTTGCTACAAATTGTATCGTCATATAGGTGCGAGGTTTTGATATTAACATTTTTTTTCTATAGCCTGATCTTTTAGAAGTGACAGTTCAGAAAGACATTTATGATTGGCTCTGAAAGTTTTACTTTGACAGTCATATTTTGCAATAATTTTTTTTTTCTTCTAGAAAATGACAAGCAATAAGAAAAAGTCTCATCAAATATTAATAATTGTCAGCAGAGAAAGCTGTCTAGAGATTCAATAATCCTTATAGAAATAGCTTTGTAGCTTTCCCTAATTGATTTTTTTTGTTCAATTAATTGATAAGATCAATCTGTCTACTTTACAAACCTCAAAGGTTATATAGATATAATAGTACATATCAGGTCAGATAATTTAGAATTATACGTAGATATACCAAATCAGATATGAATATGATAAGCCCTTCTTTTTGACCTAACACCAAATCGGCACCAAGGTATTGTACGCATTGACAGACTGCATGCTTGTTACAATCGGGTATTTAGTGTTTATGAAATCTTATCGGTCTATAGTTCTTCTGTTTCACCAATAAGCGATTAATTTCCACACGAATAGACCCCCTCTTTACATGTAGATTCTAATTGTATGCCTCTGCATACAATGTACTTGGTAGACATACATGGAGCGGGGCTTTGCATGGTACAGTTTGGGATTTCAGATAATTGCATTACATTTCTTTATTGTGTGACAAACAAACTTTTTTGTGTAGATGCTGGGTGAAGTCGTTCAGTACAAACTTTTAGGGATTTTGTTTAATATATGCAGTTTCTTCTGCTGTAATTATAGGACGGGATTGAAGGGACTAACAATAAACAGTAAACAACTAGGTATTGACAGAGCCCCAATTGAAATCGGAATTCAAATTAAAATCTGTCTTCAAGGCGGAATTCGAAGAGACTTTCATGTACCTTTACGTATGATCATTGTGAAATCAGCAAGAAGAAAAATAGAAGATAAGAATGCATAATTCATGAGCTTCATTCATGCTTTGACAACATCTACATCTACATATTCAGAAAAAGTTGATTTATGTTAGAAGTAATAAATAGCTGGAGAGAAAAAAATCTCAGGTCAATGATCTTGTACAGCACTTGGTCACCATATGTAGAAATGATAAACACGGGGTTAAACTTCAGAGTGACAGAACACAGATTATTGGTAAGTGAGAGAGATGATGTAATGGACTCGTCCTTACTTATATCTGAAGTGCTACTGTCATTTAGAGATTATTGAGAGGTTTATATAGATATTAGCTTGTTTTCTTGCCTTTTTGGGTATCTTGTGTGAACTAAGTGGTGCCAAAGGCTCTGATCTTACTGCCATATATATCTGACCATATTCTAATAAGCTTGAGCTTTTTTTCCCCTGCTCTTGGTCACAGATGTTCATGGTAATGAGTGTAGGATACAAGATGTTGCATTCAGTAGTCTGGACTTGTCACTGCTTTTACATATTGGAGTCTGCTGCTTTCTCCTTGATGGTGGAGTTTTATGGAATTTTATGTGAAAATTAATACAAGTGATTTACAGTGACTTTAATGCAGATGTGTAATATTGCATTCTAAAGATGAAGGAGTATTCATTTAGTGGGTGAGTTAACTGTTCTAGCAACACAAAGAAAAATAACTAAATAGTGTACTTTTCTGGAACTATTAGAACTGTATTCATATTAATAAAAATCTAGAATCAGATGCAAGACTTTGAACTTTTTACTGTGGATTCAAATCAATTAATTGCATTTCAGTGTTGATCAGAAGTTTCCACTCAGCCTTTAAATTGTCATTACAAATTAACATTTGAGAAAATTGGCAGTTGTTAGTGAAATTAGATTGAGAAAGTTGAAAAGTTTAAAGTGCACAGAATGATTGAATGTATGTTGAACATCAAAGGTTTACACTCAACAGATTTATAGACTGGTAGATGGAGCAAATTGCGCTTCAAAAGTTTTATACATAGAATCGATTTTCTGTTCAAATGGGCAAAAATGGCCTAAGGCAGGGTTTATTATCTGAAATATATGCATAATGACAGCTGTTTTCATATTTTAATATCAAATACAGATTTATTGAAGTAATGTAAGGTAACAATAGGATTGAGAAATTCCAATAAAAACTGAAAAACAATCCAAATCTCTGTGCAGTTGTGTAAATGTAATTAAATTAGAATTAATCACCTAAATCTAGTTGACTGACCTGTTGCTGTGTAATTACAATAAAATATTGGAGAATAGAGGTGATAAATTGAGACTGTTCGGCCAGTCACCTATAGACTGTGGTGATTTCTGTGGAGATCTGTCTATATATGTCCTAAGTCATCAACTCCAGGTGTGGAGGGTGGTCAATGGCTTCTTCATATGATATCATACAGATTATACTATACTTAGAGAGTAAGCTGATATCAATATTCAACAGAATTGGATCTGCAAGAGAAAAATCCCAATTTCTTCCTCATAAAAATTTCCTTGTGGAAGATTTACCATTGTACAGAGAAGTACCAGATACAATGTACATAAATTATATATAACCCCAGCAGAGGGACCCCCATGTGTAATTGGTAAATTTATTTCCCTGAACATCCATTAAAATACTATTAACGTGGTCTATATTAGGATCTAACTATCAATTCTCCAGCTCTGGTACAAACTGTTTACCAATTCCTGTGTGATTTATAGCAATCTCTTATATACAAAAACTGCCACTTATTAAACAGATAATTAATTATCCTGTGTTAATGTGCTTGTATCAAACAGTTAGTTTGTGGAAATAATTCACTTAGGTATGTTGTAATGGTTCAATAGGTGGTGTACTGATGTTTCTTGGGGCCTTGTATCTAATGTCTGGTAATATCTTCAGTACACAAGTTAGGAAGTGATATGTTGTACCTGATTATCCATCAGGCCCCTGGGATAGGGTCAGCTATACTCAGCCAGCCAAGCTCATTATGAAATGCCACAGTACATGTCAATAAGCCAATCACAGTTATTATTTGAAACATCACAATTAGCCAGTCACCTGTCACACCTCTAAATTGACCAATCAGAGTCTGTCTCAAACTTCAGGGGTTCAGCTCAATTAAAGGAATCTTACTTGTGTGTGTTTGAATAGTCTCAGATTTTCCCCTGTCATAGATTCACAGCTTGTACTCCCACAATTAGGGAATAAAACATAAAATGGTACTGCATGCATTAAAAGAATCTAGTGCTTGTGGATCTGTTGTTTATGATGTGGACATTGGTTTGATCATAGAACATTGCAGATATGATAGTTGATAGAATAAAAACCAAACTTCAAAGGTAAAATAATTATTAAAGGAGTTAAAAGAATACTTTTGAAATGTATGCATTGCAATTGTCAGTATATTTTAAGCATTTTAGAAATTTTTGTATGACTTCATTAATTTTAAGCATTTTAGAAATTTTTGTATGACTTCATTAAAAGTGAATATTTCATCTATTTTGAACTTTGATCTCACAAGTCAAGGAATTATTTTTATAAAACAAAACTTTTGTAAAATTTCAATGTATATATAGAGACAACTATAAGGAAATACCATGCTGAAATGAATCATATGTGAAAATTGTACGCGAGTGTTTTTACACATACATTGTACAATGTTATAGTACTTTACATGTGATTTTGCAAGCAGTACATTATCAGCACTTAGAAAATAAGAATCGTAGGACGTAAGAATGTTGCTGGTGACGGTTTTTGAGGAAATCTATCTTCTGATTCATTTCTTTGTTTTTATTTACAGGAGACTTAGTACCCTCAATAAATGTGCTGTAATGAGGATAGGGACACCCACCAAAAAACTCGTAAGTATTCTCATATGACCTTCACATCATGGGCATTGGATAAGGAAATTATATCTATACTTAAGAACTGGGACAAGTTCTTCACAAATAAGCAGATTTTCTGTTGAATTGGTCATTTTTTATAAATCTATTTATTTTCATAATGTGACTCCCTTGCAGATTTTCTGGCATGGATTTATGTCATTCATATTTAAGAAATTTAATAGACCTATTTTTATGTTTATGCTTCAACAAATAGATTTACATTGAGGCATGTTTTCATGAGCCTTTACCATAATAAAGGGAGATTCCCATTCTGTTATAAAATGTGAAGGATAAAGGGAAATCTGGTGCCCTCTTGGAGTTTTTAATTCCTATCCTTGGTTGTAATCATGTTATTAAATTGTCTGTGAGTCCCATCTAGAAAATGCGTTTTTATTTACTCAGTTAAATCTACCATACTAAGACTTGTCAGCCATAGAAAATAAGCCTAAAAATATGAATGTGGATAATCATCTTGAGCAAGATATTAAAATGTATGAAGAGGGATAGTACTGGCTACGCTCGAATGACCTGGTAATGAGGTGGGACAATATAAATTCGCTAGTGACCTACATTGTTGTATATAAGACCTTAAACAGAGCAGAGGGGCACCTGTCAACGAAAGTGTCCAGTGCTTAGAACTTCACATTAAAAAATGTGAACAATTACCATAGCTAAGGAGTCTACATACAAATAGTCTCGTGTAGTTATTATAGTCGGGAACAGTGAATTGTTAGACAAAAGAGGAAAAGTGTGATTACGCATGTGACAGACTGACATGTGCAAGCCAGCATGGATTATTGTAGATGATTAACTACCGAGTAGTGAGGTAACATCATCACTGTGTCCGTAACTGCTGTTTATCTGTTTGCCGTATTAGGAGAGTCTTCTGTTGCTTGTTTTCTTTTGCCTTATAAATCAGGTCTTTGTGGGGATTTTACTCAGATCAAGAGAGTTTTATAAAGTGAAAGGGCCCGGTATTTCCTTGAGAATTATACAGAAACAATTAAGTGTTCTGTGACATCAAATGTAGTGTTGTTAAGAAGAGATACAGTTAATTTCCTTGTACGTATTGTGTATCAAGGACAGATCTTTACTGTGAGGAATAAATTTCATGTAGGGGCCGGGAACTTCCTTTCTGTTGTTAAAGATGAAATGCATCTTTAATTTATGGATATTATATATGCATATATATGGGAGCAAAAATCAATATAACACAAGACAGTTGATAAGAAGATTTCTAGGGCTATTAAGTGTGTATTGAGACATTGTACAGGCAGAAAACTTGAATTTTCTAATGTTTAAGATAGGGATGTAGAAGGCTAGCATTTATGTAATATGCTGAAAAAAATATGAAAACAAATGATGTAAAACAGATAAATATTTCATGCTTACGTAAGTTTTTATTTTTTCTTCCCACAGGGTGATGAATCAGACGATGAAGATCAGTGTGCTCTCAGTGACAAGTGGAAATATCAACACAACATCCGTCGCTGGTCTCGCAAGGATTTGAGCAGCCCATCTTCAGATGGGCAGCCATTGTCACCTACTGTTAAATCGAGTTCAAGCAACGATAGTCTACTAACGGATCAAAACTCAAGCAGTGAGACTGGAGACAGTCCAATCCTTGATTCCAAGATGCACCATGAAAAGAATATGGCTAATGATGACTATTTTGGGGTAAAGACTACTACTCCCCATGATCATCTCAATCCCTCAACAAGAACCTTAAGTCCGAGACTCAGGAGGGCTGCAAGTGAAAGAATTAAAGGAGCTAAGAATTTCCTGAAAAGGATGGAAAGTTTTAAAAGTCGAAAAAATAGGCGAATTCAAAGGAATGGAAATGTAGAAATCAGTGGACCTGTTGTGATGGATACAGATGGAATGCAAGCTAAGATAAGGCATTTGAACTGTAAAGAGTTGAGTCCTTCCAGTGAGGTACCCCCAACTCTTCCAACAGAAGAAAACAAAACAACAGAACCCTGGTCAGACAGTGCTACAAATTACAATAAGGACCCTCAGCAGACACCCGTCTCCCCCCAGGAAGTCAATGACCCCAGTAGTGCTTTAATCTCTACCCTGAAGTTCCTAGAGGACGCGAGCCAGTCCTCAACAGAACTCCACTCCTCAGTGAAAACTCCCTCCCCACTCTCAGGGCATGTACATCTCAGAAAACCCAACTTAGCTTGGAAAAATATAAGTGACTCTGAACTCTTTTCTTCAGAAACCTCTCCATCAGTGTCTTTTAAGCTTCCCGATGACTACACACCGGGAACATTTCCTCGAGTGCTGCCCACAGGGTATGTACAGACAGAGAGAGGTCATGGAATTAATACTAGAACTGGCAGTATTAGTTTAGGTAGTGATAGAAAGGATGACAATGTGCCCAGTGGTGCCTCTGTCAAAAGACGGGGATCTGCAGGCCCTCGATTAGACTCCTGCAGAGTCAGTGTCTATGACAATGTGGAGCCCGAGGAGGATTTAGAAAGTGCCCAACAAGAACTGGACTTGATTCTCAGTAAAGTGTTCGAGGATATAAACGTTCTCAATAAAGCCATCTATGGTGAAGATGCAGGTAAGAGTTAATTCCCTTTGACAAATATATGCTTTTTTTCAATATTTGATTTTTGCAGTATTTTTAGTTTATTGAAAAAAATTATTTCTTTATTTTAGGGATATTTAAACTTTAAACCAGCAAAATGAAGTTAAAAAAAGTTTAAGATGTAAGATAGAAGCATGTATCAGTGGTATTGTCACAGTTAAGGTTGAAATAAAAGATTATGTTTTATTTCGTTCTACAAATTTAAAAATTTTATAGCATGATATGATTTTATTTTTAGTTTATTTTATTCAACTTTTATTTGTTCTTTCTGTTATTATTTAAGTTAAAAAATATAACGTTTTTGTTCTTGTGTACTTTTTTCCTTGAATTTCTTCTTGTGGTAAGTGTACAGACTTGTCAACAAAACACCTTTCGATACAAGACTTCATTCATAAGCTTTGTTATTCATGGTTATAACCAGAGGTATAGCAGTTAGAGGTCTTTTTCATTATATGGATGACTGCATGAGTGCTGGCCTCTAGTTAGTTCAGACTGAAGACATTCGATATCTAATGACGTCCATTCATTTCCTTTTTATTCAAGTTGTTCAAGTCTGTATAAAAGCAAGCTATCTTGTCTAATAAAGTTAACATACATACTAGGCTACTATAGATCTCTTCTGAATGGAACATGTAATTTAAAATTCCTGGAGGAGAAAGCTATCATATGGCATAGAATTCATTGAATGCATGTTCATTAACAAGTAATGTGATTTTTGCATTGTAAGGTGTATTAAGAGTTCAGCTTCAGTGATTATTAACATTTAATAATGACTTTGAACAAGCTCATCTTGATTCCATTGATATTGATATCAATTTTATTTTTTTACAGAAATATTACAGCCCCCTCCCTCTTCTCACAATTCAACAGTAAATAAATCGGATGATGAGAGCCATCTATCTCTGAAGAACTTGAGTGCTCTGGAGACAGATGACAGTTTGAATGGTGATCAGGATGTGACCAGTCGGACCAATTCCTCCCCAGACACTAGTGATCATGACATCACAACTGGGGAACTGTCGCACGATGACTCGACAGAAAATATAGAGACTCGTGAGAGGCGAGACTCTGGTGTGGGGTCTTCACTCACTCGAGCTCCAAGGTATACATACAAACTTTTATCTTGCGCATTTTACTGAAGAAAAATCTATGTTGAATCTCTGATATATCTTTGTGAGGAGAAGATCAGTTAATGAACAAAATCATGAACACATTCATTTACAACTTACTGGTTACAAAACAAAAGAATAAATACATGTTAATAAAATTATGAGAAATTTTAAGGTATTTTATTTCACCTCCCATTTGAATTTGAGGAATCCTTAAGGGAGACTTCTGTATATAAATTCTATTTTCTTTCAGTGACAGAAGAAGACAGAGAATTCGCTGGCATAGTTTTCAGAAATCTCACAGACCAAGTGTGAGCGGGAGAAATACTCACATTAGCAGTCTGTCTGTGTGTCAACTTATGGTGCTACAAAAACTCTCTCTGTGTCGTTTGACAGGCCTCATAGAAAAATACTCACCTAATCGCTCAGGATGGAACTGGAGCATGCCGGGATTCATGAAACGCCATAAGACTCCTAATTACAATGACCGTAATGTGTTTGGTGTACCCCTTCTTGTGACTTTACAGAGAACGGGCCAGCCCCTGCCCCAGTGTATGCTTAGTGCTATGCGCTATCTCAGGAAAACCGCCAAAGAAGCCGTGGGAATCTTCAGGAAATCAGGAGTGAGGACCAGAATTCAGAAACTGAAGAATGAAGTGGAAGCTAATCCAGGTCAGTGTGTATTAAAAATCTCAGATTTACACAAATAGGACACAGCTAAATTTCAAGTTTGACTTTTTTGATGATTAACAGGGGTGGACACTAGTTACAACGTATTACAACTTCAGTGGTTTCCTTTACACTGTGGGAAATTATGGCTCTAAGAGAGATAACTCTTGAATAAAATATATGACACTCTCTCTTTCAGATTCAGTGAACTTCCAAGAACTTCAGGCTTATGATGTGGCAGACTTGCTGAAGCAATACTTTCGTGAATTACCAGAGTGCTTATTGACCAATAAGCTCTCAGAAGTTTTCATCAATATCTTTATCTGTAAGTTTTTTCATGTTCATTTTTCAAATGACGAAAATTAACAAAGAAAACTTGAAATTTTATAAATTCAGAGTTTTCCAAGAAAGATAAACTGCAAAATCAGGTATGAAGCATTTATCAATGAATGAATTGGCATATATATATATGTAGATAGTAAGCTGAGATTTTGAGATGTGTGTTTGTTGAGCTAGTAATTCATTTCTGTATTGTGAAATTGCCCAGTGAGTTTGTGTCTCTATGTTGTAGATTTTTGTGTTTGTTGAGCTGGTAATTCCTCTCTGTGTTGTAGATTTGCCCAGTGAGCAGCGTCTGGAGGCCCTACAGTCTGCCGTTATCCTCCTTCCTGACGAGAACAGAGAAGTTCTTCAGTCCCTTCTTTTCTTCCTCTATGACATTTCGATGCAGGCTGAGGAACATCAGATGACAGCCAGTAATCTTGCAGTATGCTTTGCTCCGTCTCTGTTTAACATGAGTGGGACAAAGAGTGTGACTCAGAGCCCGAGTCCGCGAAGACCGAGGAAGAATCTAGGTGTACCGGACGCTAGAGAACTTCAAGAACAGAAAGCTGCACATGAGTGTCTGACGACTTTGATCCAGGACTGCAAAAAGCTCTTCAATGTAAGTGAGCTATCAATTTTTGAAAATACAATTTGAGATTCTTCAGAATATTTACTTGAAAATTTTTGAGGTAATTGATATATTATTTTGAATGAATTTTGAAAAATTTCAGATTCCAACAACAATGATGAGCAAGTGCCGATTCTCCTACATTGAACAAGGGGACCCTGTATCCCTGGAGGAATTTAACAAGCGTTCATCTCAGGATGGTCAGTTGGAGTACCAGGCTTATGTTGACACAGCCATCCAGGGGTTACTGAAGGAATCCAGAGATAAGTTCAAAGGCTGGGTATCTGTCAGTTCTGTCCCTACTGACCTGGACTTGTCTTATAAGAAGGTGACCGATGGTCATCCACTCAGACTGTGGAGATGTTCAGCAGAAGTGGAGGCTCCACCCTATGTGGCACTGGACAGAGTCAAGGACGAGAGGTAAGCTGATTATACATTTAAATAAAATATTAGAATGAGTAAAAAATCTGATGATAACAGAAGCAACAATGTTATGAAATGGTAGTGAAAATGTTAAACATGGAAGTTCAAATGTTACTGTTATTTATTATACAATTACACAAGAGATAACAGGATTTCATTGAATGAGATTTTTTTTTATCAATAGACATACTTGGGACGAGGACCTTATTAAATGGAGATCTATAGAGAGACTGGATTCCCAGACTGAGGTTTTCCAGTATACCCAGAGTTCAATGGCACCACACCCTGCTAGAGATTTCTGTGTTCTCAGGTAGATATTACTGAGGATTTTCTCCAGGGAGTTTAAACAAGAAATTCACATTGCATAAGCTTTTGGTGTCATATTAGAAAAAAATTACATTAAAATAGTTTGTAACTAAATCAAAATTGATTTATTAATACAATGTAATATCTAACTACTTGAAGTTGACGATGATTTTGTAGAAATTCTGAATTTTTTAAATTTTCTTTACAGGTCCTGGAGAACAGATCTCCCAAAGGGATCTTGTGCCCTGGTGTCCACATCAATTGAGCACCCCCAGGCTGAGCTGAATGGAGCCATACAGGGGGTGGTGTTAGCTTCTCACTACTTGATAGAACCTTGTGGGTCAGGAAAATCACGAGTCACCCACATCAGCCGCATAGATATGAGGTAGGAGACTTATCCTTTCATTGCTTTTCCAAAAACCAGAAGTCCACAGTTAAAAGTACATGCTCATTTTATAAAAATTTTTATTAAAAAATATTCAAAAAGTTAATCTTTCTGCCTTTTGTTTTTTAGGGGAAGAACACCAGAGTGGTATAAAAAGGTATACAGTTACAACTGTGTAAATCAAATGGAGAGAATCCGCGACTCCCTGAAGCAAAGTACAGATGGACCAGAGTCCACTGTGTGAAGATAAGCTTCTGATTAAGATGAGAAATCTCCAAACAACAGGGAATTACTTCTTGTCCCTACACTGTGTGCCAATGTGGCACCAAACTGCTGAAGTCCATGAAGGGTTAAGCATGGAGTCTTGGACAGAAATCTTCTGTTGAAGGCCATTGACACTGAAGTCTGTGATGTATTGGACAAAACCATAATTCTGATTCAGTAGAGAACAATAGATAGTCACTGACAGATGTGGGGTGCTAACCACATGACAATCTAGTGCTGTAATATAGAACATTCCGTATAGATTATAGAGGAGGGCAAAATGTGTTCATTTTAATTAGCATTACTGTTGAATTTTGTAGAAGGGGACCTAGGTTCACTAATGAGTAGCATCTAAAAACAGAATGGTGGGCAGTCCCCACTGTTGCCATAGAGAAGGCAGCATTATGTCTGTTGGTAACCATAGGAACCATGCTAGTCATGTGACCTGATATTATTCCTTGGGAGTAGAGAAACTGCAATATTACAAAATGCATTTATTGTTGTCCTGTGCCATGTCTTGTGTGTATTCCGTTGTAAATATTTGTCCAAAGTTTTGAATGTACATTGTACAGAAGTCATTAAGATACATACATGTTATAAGTTATGACTATGTTAGACATAAGTTACTGGCATTGAGTGATGTTATATTGAATGTAAGAATGACTGAATTTTATTTGAATGTTTGACACTGTGAGAGAGAGAGAGAGGTGTACTTTCACTTTCTGTAAGAGAGGTACTTTCACGTTCTATGAGAGGTACTATCACTATATATATGTATGCTGATGTCCTCTGTGGCCAGACTCTGCTGTAATAATCAAACCAGTCCATACCTCATACTAGCCAGTCACACGGCTGATTTATTTATCCTGTACACTAATGCTCCCCCCCCCCCAATACTGGTCAGATGGACCAGTGTATACATGTAGATGTTACATTAACATTGGTTGTGATGTTTTAGGTAAAGAGAGTTATAAAATATTCATCATTGATATTATTCCTAAAGTAAACAACTCAACCGTACAATCATTAAGGAAAACACATTGCATGTATCTAATAAACTGCAGAAATCCACAGATTCTTTGACATTGTGTAAAGGTATAGTCAGCCAGTAGCTATTATTAAGAAAAGTGTATTCAAAAACACCATACTATGTTAAACTAGTATTTTAACGATCAAGTTTACATTTATATCTGTCAAAGATTTTAATTTCACTATGTTACATCAGGAGATGTGTAGTCACACGACAGTGTACAGTGTCAATAATGATATTGTCATCTCTATTACCTCAGACCTATATATATATATATATATATCATGATTCCATTGTATCTGTATCTTGTTATGATATTTGTTATTATTATTATAATGAAGTAAGTCATAAATATTAATAAAACAAGAAAATTTAAATGAGGAATTTGTCTTCTTTCTTGCAAGATACGTAGAAAAATTTATCGTTCTTTCTCATGTGAAAGAAAAGTATTGAAATTTACTGCAAAAAAATCTCATGTATTAAAACCAAAACAAGGGATTATTTTTAGGTAACTTAGGTGACCGATTGCATTCAAATGCGTTGACCAATGAAAACAACTTTTAACGATATACTCGAAAGGTACTCTTTTTTATCTTTGATATAAAGGTGTACATATTGAGTTACTCTGATCACTCAACCCTCTGATCACTCATATCAAATTATGTTTTAATATTAATCATTTTCCAAAGGAAATTTGATTTATCAGTAAAGTACAATTTCATCATATATCTTGCGAGCAAAATTAAAGTTGACATTTTGTCATTTTTTCCTAATGAGAGTTACCTCTCTTATCAGAGGGCCCAGTGTACATTTTCTGCAAATGAATAGATATTGATTAACCTGATTATATAAAAACACTTTTTTAAACACCTATATTTCTTGTCTGCTGCTCAGCAGTTTTTAAATAAGGTTAAATATGGCTACATTATTTATAAAATAACCCTAAAACTTGTTATGACAATATGAATAGGTGTACAGTTTCCGTTTGTAATAGATGATAAGAGGCTTACTGTCTCATAGCATATCTCTAACCCACCCACCCCCAACAAAAAATTCTCATAGCACATCCTACCCCCCGCACCCCCTCCCCCCAAAAAGCAAAGTGTCCCCATCCCCCACCCCTATCGCATGTGACCTTTTTCAGTGTTCTATTTTTGTTTCAGAGTTTATGCACGTTCGTTAAAGCATTTTTTTAAATTACACTAAATCTTTAGTCTATCTCTCTTGACATTTCCTATTGCAAAAAACTACTCGATTCAATGATTTCAAATGAACCGGTAAATCAACATCTATTATAGATTTTGTTGACGTCAAATCTGTTGTCAGCCCGACCGCAAAGCGTTTCCTAAACAATATTATTTCCTAATCAAACCTCAACAGGAGATAGAGGTAAATCCCAAAAATGGAGTCATCCTGGAAGTGCAATTTTATGCAACGGTTACATCACGCATGACAAAACACTTTTGTTATGTAAATAACAACTCAAGTGAGAAATGTTTAAATAATTGACTGACATAGGAGAGTAGTTTCTGACTTTTATACGTAGGTTTTAATGCAAAGTAAATGAAAGAAAATGTCAGTTCTGAATTTATAAATTAAAAAATACTGATATTAAAATATGTGTTGAAATGTTGAAATGAATAAAATGATTTCATGATGAATTGAAATGTCAAAATAAAATAATTACATAAATACAAAGGTTAACAGTCGTAGTTAAATAAACAGTCACAAAAATGATATTATGTATACAACACATGTATACAAGTAAAGTGCAAACACATCATGATTTCCTTTGTAAATAACATTTCAGAAGCTTAAAGTTAAACATTTGAAGCATCTGTTTTATTCTTAATCGTTGACATGTCAACGATGCATATAATTTTTAAAGCATCTTCGTAACTAGGTAGTTCCTGGTCACGTGATTTATCTGCTGCAACCACAGATTCATACGACGGAGGAGCGTAATTAACATCATAAAATCCACGATTAATTTCACCTACAGTTGCTATGGTGATATTGTTAGTTTCCCTGGTATCACGTACACAAACAGACACACGTTCTTTGACCCAGGCACATTGGCAGAGTGACCGAAGACAGCTGGTCAATATTTCAAAAGCTTCCTTTAATGGCGCTGGTCCATGATTTTTCAGGCAAAATACAACACAACAAAGAATCATTAGAAAGGCAAATGTTAAGAAAAATAAAGCAGCACCATCCATTGTAATCCTCGAGTAAAGTCCCATGCAGTTGAAAAGGTGTATCTCATAAACTCATCTATAAACAAACAAATAAATATATAAACAAACATTAAATATTCCAAAGAAAAAAATCATTCAACTGTAAAAATGAAACTGAATTCCTCTGTATTCATTATAATAGTTTTGATATATACTATAGGTTTTTACAATATGATAGTGATTCTTATATTCTACAAAAATGAATCTGTTTCTAAAATAATAATGAATTACCACTAACCTTCACTTTTGTCCGTTCCTGTTGAAGTTAATCATATATGTTATATATTCTTACTGGAGAAACAGTTGAGTATATTATTTACAACCCTAACCCTTTGTGTACTTCACTATTCATGACAGACTACACTTCTTGGGAAATCCTTATGACTAAATTTAAACACCTGTCCACCTTTTACAAAATGCAATGCATATGACGTCATTGTTAAAGGTGTAAATATTTAAAAGGATAAGCATTGATCATATTTTTTGTTTGGCACGTTGTTGATTGTTGACAAGTTTATTATCAGACTTAAGCCAAACCATGAAGTCAATGATACGTTTCAATAAGAACACGTATCTATCAATCATATTGAAATGTCTTTTAAGATCAAAAAGCTTTTGACAGATAAAAAAAAAAACCTTGAATTTCTGAGAATTCAGTCGTTCACAAGTATCGGTAATGTTTTTTCCTCCAATATGTATATCCAAGCTCTAGCATTTCGAACTGTTTCCATTTATTGAAATACATGTATTCATTGCTTTGTGTACTCCGTTTAAAATGTCAGAAACCTTGAATTCTCTCTTGGAGCCCAAGCAGACCTTTCATAATGGTTAAGAATTATGCTGAATGCAAAAAAGAAGAAAAAAAAAGATGACCGAAACCAGAATAGAATGAATGGAAACCAGTAACTGGTTTAAAAATAACAACATGCTAAAATAAATGATAGTACTAAGGATTACTAAGGAACTGCAATCGTTGTTGCAGAACGCACGGGGGTGAGGGAATACTGGCGTAGAAGGTACAAGGTATAGGTAGAGGCGCTTTGTAAGGTAAAAACGAAGTATAGGTGAGCTGTATTACCTTAAGTCAACCAATATGCAATTTCAGAGATAAAACAATGTAAATTCAACTAATTGACAAATACAATATCGGTATAGTCATCTGATAATGTAGAAAATACATACATAAATATCATATTCTAAATTTATCTCAGTGTGTATGAATTAAAAAAAAACGAATTACCCATAGATCAATTCAGTAGGGCTGCAATGTTTGCAAATAAATTGTACTTGACTCTTTTCCAATGTAAAAGGTGAAGATAATGAACAGTGATCAATCTCACAAATCCAGTAACCCAACCGAACCGTAGACACAGACCCGTGTCAACAAGGAGTAAGCATCCCCTGTTGGCCGATCACACCCATCGTGAGCCATACATTGTATGTACTATAGGATTAAGAGGGCTGGGTGGTTGTGGCCATTTTCAGACTATATTGATCTTCTTTAGAAGAAGAGCTCCATATAAAGATATACAAAATTGATCAAATTTTAAAACTAAAATGTATGAAATTTTTGTTTGCCAAATGATAGTTGACAGCTTAAGATATCATATCTAAAAAATTAAGTTATATCTGATGGTTAATTTGTTGACCCCCCAGCCTCCTTAAACGTTCTTTTTGAAAAATTTTATCGAGGTGTGAACTCTTTGTGAGTAAAATGTCAAGAGTTTATACCTCGATAAAATTTTCAAAAAGAACGTTTAATTCTTATTATTCCAATTACGAAGTTTTAAAATTATTTCTCTTTGAAGCCTCCATACAATCCGTTATTTCTGTATGCAGCGTAGGAATACCCGACGTGTGCTCCTTGTCATAATCGGAAAAAAAACCAGAAAAATCCGTAGACATTTCAGTGTATAAATAATGGTCTAAAAATTAGTATGAAAAACATCAGTCAGTATTTGACTCAATGATAGGTTGTATGTGCTGACAAGGTCATTGTATCGACCGTAAAACTTGCGAAATGATGACTTCTAACGAGACTATTGATATTGTCTTCCCACAAATTTTTATTAAAATAGAGATACATTGTATATAATGTATCTGTCTTCCCACAAATTTTTATTAAAATAGAAAATTTGGTGTTATGACTATATCCTTGTTTCATCAACTTGTTATTCAATAGTTTGCCTCGCTATAGTAATTCGTCATACGTAGAGCATGCTCTTGCGTATCGAATCAACCCCATATGCAGGTGATAAGGGTATATTGCGACATAAGTAAGGGAAGTTGACGATTGAAAAGTTGAAGTCATCACGTTTATCATAAGACTTTGTTGTTAGGTTACCATTAACGTCTTTTATAGAAAAATATCTAAATATGAAATATATATGTCAGAATCTGTGGTATCTTTTATTTCAAGCTCACTGGGATATATCGAGCCGTCATACGAATGAAAGTAACTATATTGTTAATTGATAATACGTCGTCGATATAACGAAATGTCGAGTTGAAGGCCATAGCAAGTGTTTTCTTCTTCTCATGTAAAAGTTTTTGAATAAATTCTGCTTCATATGAATACAAAAATAGTTTGTTAATAAGGAAGCGCAATTGGTACATGTATTCAAGGGAATTCCAACAGATTGTTGAAAGACCTGATCTCCAAAAATTACATAGATATTGTCAATCAGAAACTCAAGCATCTTTTTAATATCAACTTCAGAGTACTTGTTGTATGTAAAATCAGAATACTTTTTAACAAAATAATTTTGCAAATGACCAATGACAAGGTAAGTATATTTAGTTATTTACGACTTCCATTTTTATTGAAAGATGTCAAAAAGCCTGGGACTTCAATTTATCGTGGCGAATGATTGTATAAAGTGTTGAAAAGTCGTACGTTTTGATGTTATTGATTTTAGTGGAAAAAATTTTGATTTCAAATTTTCTAAAAATTCTTTGGAGTTTTAAGATCCACCACTTCTCGAATATACTGTTGTACAATACTCTTGAAGTTTCTCTTTCATTTCAGTAAATATTTTAGTGAGGAGTAAAGAAAGAGGCTTGGTAGAACATTTACTGGAACCCGCTATGTATCTTTGTTTATAAGGATTTTTATGAAGTTTAGGAATCCAGTAAAGGTATGG